GAGAGAGAGAGATAGAGATAAATGTGCCCCCAGTTACCAGAGCGTCCCCCACTTCGCATCCTATCACCCTCACTGATGGAAGTATTTGTAGTATGTGAGGAAAAGGAAATCTCCTCTACAGCCTCAGCGCTCTGCGTTTATGATCCAATGCGTGTACATCTTACACCATCTGTCATTAATAATGCAGCCATATTGCTTTTATAGTACCTTTTAACTCACCTGATCTCTTTACTATGTGCAGCACAATGCAGCAGACCAGCTGGTACTGATGAAATGAAAATACCACAATGGTTTTGACCAAATACCACAATGGTTTGTGACCAAATTGCTTTTTAAGTATCCAGATATTTACACAATGCTGGAAATTATTATAATGGTTAGTCAAGTAATAATATACACAGATACATTCAGAAAGCTGTCACCAATTCACTGATTACCGATGTGGCAGCTGGCCAAAACAGACCTTTTCTATGTGGATTCTGCACTGATTTAACACCAATATGACTATGCAAAGGTACTTAAAAGGCTGATTTCTTAAACAAATAACTTAAGTTAAATATCATGTTAATAAGCTCCTCCTCCTCATGATAAATTATTTAACTTATACATTGTCACCGCTGATTAAAGGCTTTGAAGCTTTATTTATACTTCTGCGTCAAATCGACACCGTAGGTAGGTGTAGCCTCATTCCCCCCTAGAAATGTAACTACATGTTGCAGCTGCAACGCAATAACTGTGATTGGTCCGCTTGGTGTGTGTGTGCATTGACTGAGAATGGGAAGCGACATGCAAAACCCAGATGAGTTAATAATACTGTTTGAGAATCCCTCTTCAAACATACACACAAATTCCCAGACAAGTGTGTCCTCAGACACACATACACAGCCAAGCTAAGAATTCATGTACAGTGTAGAATAAAGAGACTTTGAACAAACACAGGATCTTCCTCATCATCAGTTGGTTTGTCTGCTTACTTTGAACCTTGTTCCAGCTAGCTTGCCTTTACTTAACTTTCAAATACAAAAGCGCAGGTAATTTTAGTAGACATTTACATATGCACTTTACAGCGCCATACTACCCAACTATGCAGGATAGTCAAGTAAAAATGCTTATGTAACATGTTATGCTATCATCATTTCCTTCACCAAATCCCTTATAAATTAGAGGTAAGCTTTAGTGGCAAGCTGCTCACTCCAAAGGATGTTAGATAACATGTCTATGGTACACATCACTGTATGCTCAACAGTGATTACATGGGCACAAAGCTTCAGTTATTTCTCATATTGTAACACTGATTTAACCAAATAATATAACATTGTGCAGTAACATCACGCCACAGTTATTAGAAGTAGCAAGTGAAAGAACAGGGTTCATTTAAGGTAATGAGTACATTTTCTGCTTTGAGTCTTCACTGTCTGCATTCAAGTGCTTCTGTTTGTGATAGCTTTGATGCTGTCTGAATATCTCTGATGTTGTCTGGAGCTAGACAGGATGAGAACAGATTTCTATTTAAAATAAAAAGGCGTGCACAGACAGAGATGGAGGCTGAATAGCAAAGTGGCCTCCATGGCTGCAGAGCTGAGCAGAGGCTCCATGGCTGCGTTTAGAGATGAGAGATGCAGCGCTCTGCTCTTCTCCTCCCTCAAATATAGCTGACCTAGTTTTTTGATCTTCATACATGTGCCTGGAACACCAGAACAACACATGGCTTAAACAATAGAAGGCTAGTAGGCACGTTCGTTGGTGTTAATGGTCTTGTGTAGTGATAAGGACAGTTTGTACTGTAGGTATGGGGGTGTGAGTGTGTTTGTGTGAGTAGCTGCGAAGATACTGCATCAATGCTTTTGTGCAATTTAATGATGAAATGTGACTGTAGAACCTCTACTTTAGCTCAGCCATGTTTGTTATTACTCACCTAAGACATCCAAGGGCTCTTTCATAAAGCAAAAGTATCAGTTAAATCATCGTTATTTCAGTAAATCTGCCTTATTTTCAGGAAATCATTTTTCATAAACCAAGTTACTATGGAAACATATCCCTCCAGACTAGCTTGATTCCTCCAGTAAAGCTAGTTTTGAGGCTTATCTTCACTTGTAAGAGTCCTATCTCCAAATCAATCAATCTGAAGAACCTGTTTCACTTTCTCCATCCAGGTTGTTACACTATGCCCTGCTTTTCTAGGCCCTCTGATTGCATATCGGCTGGTATGGATCACACATGTACTTTTTTGAATACATTAGTAAGTCTTTCTATTTGTGTGTTCATTTCAGGGGCGCATTCTCCGTGGTCAGGAGGTGCGTTAAGATCTCATCTGGACAGGAATATGCCGCTAAAATCATCAACACTAAGAAGCTTTCTGCCAGAGGTAGGAAACACAAACAACATGTACAGAAACACACACACACACACCACACATGAGCAGAAAAAAATATGCCCCAAGTGTCACTAAGTTACGTTTGGATGAGCTGTGAACATTACTGCCCCTGAAACAGACTTTGGGGAGAATAAATTAATGTGTCCCTGTATGTGCGTGTGTCACAGTGAAAGCCAGTGAGTGAGAAACAGACAGGCACGCATGGGGCAGAGACTCATCTGGATTTTGGTTGATTAAGTTTCCTGTGAGGAAAACAGTGAATATTTCGACTAAATGCTGTAACTGCGTTTGCCCGCTTGCACTTTTTGTGCTGTGTGGTACTGTACATGTTCTTCTTCCTTTTTGTTTTATTCATATCTGTCCTTTGGTTTATATGTAAATGTTAGTCATACACAACCGTTTGTGTGTGTGTGTGTGCGCGTATGTGCTTCTGCGTGTGTGTGCATGTGTTCCGTATTGATTCAGGGCTCTGGCTGGTCTTGTCGTCCCAGGGGCAGATCTCTTGCGAAGCCGACCCAGTTCTTTCACATCCGTCACTGTAATTGTAGCCGCTGGCCTGGTTGCCTTAGGCTTGGGACACACACATAATCACACACACACTAGCTCACACACACATACGTGCACACGCAAGCACACACATGACCCAGGAAACTGCCAACATCATATTCGTGATTATTAACCAATGGTGTGTTGCGGCTTTGCTGTTCCTCCTTCTCTTCAGCCAATGGCGTGTTTTGTCACAGCTTGCCGGCCTATGATAACCAATGACTGCTGTCATACCACACAAGGCGTCAGGCTTTTTGTATATGTGAGCTGAGCCATTTAACTAAAATTTTATTTGTAATAATTTACTGTAAATTGCCTTGGCTGTTGCACTTGTTAAACCGCTGCCTATAGTCTCATTGTGATGATGTTTTTGATTGTGTTGTAGTGTGTGTGTATTAACAAGCAACGTCCTCCCCCTCTTTGCAGTATTTTACCTTTCATTCTTTTGCAGCAGCTCCCAATCTTCCCTCCTCCTCAGCATCCTCCCTCTCCATATTCTCTACTCTTTTGCATTTACTCTCCTTCCCTATTTTGCATTTTCTTTATTCTCCTTCTTTTAAATCTGTTCTCTCTCTTCTTTTTGATTTACAAGCCACTGTCATATTTCTCACTAGGTACTTCTACCCACCCCCCTCCTTCCTGCACACCTTTTCCTCTACTAATACCCAACCATCTATCCCTGCCTTCATTCCTCCATCACTCTGCTTCTTATCTCTTCCTTTTCTTTGTTGTCCTTCATGCTGCATCCCTTTTCTTTGCCACTTTCCTCTCTCCTCCCTCACCAATCCTTCGCTCTTTCTCTTCTGCCCATGTTGACCCTCCCACTTGCTGAGTGCAGTGTTGGTAATAGACACCACGGCAGACGGATCAGTGTCTCACCACTTGCATGCCGGGACAGATTTTCCAAAAATACTGCAAAGGGTTATCTCACCGCATATGTATGTCTCTCTCATCTCTCATTCTTCCTCTCTGTGTTTGTGTGTATAGAGTTTTACATACCGGGCATGCTAGCGTGTCAGATATGGTCTTACCCTCTTTCCGCAATAAGCCCTCGAATTGCAACTCTGATTCCCTTCTCTCTGGCAGGATCATGACCTCCCCCCAACCCCACTCCATCACTGTGTGTGTATTTGCCTATCCAAGTGCATGCGCGTGTGTGAGTATATATAATTTAAAAGGGTTTAGGGTGGGATTGGTGGCTGGAAAGCAGGAAGATCAAGGCACTGTGTGTGTGTGTGTTTGGTGTTTCTGGTTATACATGCACACATGAGGGGTGGGCCTATAGAACCAGTCACAGTCCTGCAATCTGCAATCCTGATTATGCAGCTTTTCATTAAGAGCAGCAGATGAGTCAGTGAATGAGAGGAAGCAGTAGAGAGAGAGATAGAGAGAAAGAGGAAGAAAAGGATAGGAAGCAGAGGGAGGAAGACAGATAATCACATATCATAATAAGTAAGAAAGAAACAACGTAAAGTCAAAATTAAAGTGTGTGCGCGTGTTTGTGTATGCAGTATCCCTCACAGCAGTTGAATATTTGTCCTCTCCCTTATGCATGCGTCAGTGTCCTGTCACTATGACTCTGTCTGCAGTCTTTTGTCACTTTGTATTTGCTTGTGATGTGCTGTGTGTATGTGTGTATGTAGGCAAACGTGCATGAGCTTGTGTTTCTGTCCGCACTCCCACGTCTGTTTGTGTGTGTGCACATGATTACCCTTGTTTGTGTGTCCGTGCACTAGTCTCATTCCCTGACTATGTGACCCTTTCAGCTTGTCTTAACAGTTGGATAGGTTTGCATTGTTACAATAAAGATGTTTTGAATTTTAAAAAAGGCTTGCTTTTCTCGCTATGTAAATATTGCATTGCACCGTGGGAGTGACACAGTGATAAGGAGATAGGGTAAAGAAATATGGCTACACTTACAATGAGGGAGGAATTAAAACAACAATTTAACAATATTTGTTTTGACACAGCATTGATAATGCGTTTCATCCTCTTTCTCCCATGTCTTTTTTTCTTTTCTTGTTTGAGTTCTTGTTCACATGCCAAATACAGTTTAGTCCCATCAGTTCTGCCGAGGCTGTATCATTGTTCCTGGCTTGATGTTGCTCCTGTCCACCAATCTGTAACTGACCTTACTTCATTGTGGAGTTTTTATGTTAACAGGGATGTCGTTGTTATTTCCGTTGTGTGCAGGTGTCATGGTAACAGAAATGATAGCTGTTGCTGAGGTGTAATCCAGTCTGCCCCAGTGGTGTATGCACACATCACAATGATACAAATGCATATGTGTGCTTGTTTTCTTTTTTAATATCGCTCCTTGTGCAGTTTTCCTTCATTAGGCAAGATAGGGATTTGTCTTCCCTCCTGCTTTCCCTTTCCTCACTTATTGTCTTTATTCCTGCATTCCTCCGGTGTCACCGTGACTGTTTTGCCTCGCTTTGAAGTGAAGGGAAGGAGGAGAGAGAGGGGATGTGATTGTGGGAGAGAGAAAGGAGGGGAAGAAAGGAAGGAGAGATCAGTGGGAGGGAGGAGGATCACATGACTCACTGGGTACTTGTAGGCTAAAAATAAATATTGGTCATTCTCTCACTCTCAGTGTCTCTCTCTCTATCTCACACACACACACACACACGGTATTGAAAATATTCCATCTTTTGAAAGGAGCCAGGTTTTTGGTTTTAGTCGATGCTCACCTGTCTGGCCAACCAGACTGTTGGTGCACATTGGGAAGAAGAAGCATGAGGCTGAAACTGTAGCCTCTGTGTTTGTGTATCTATGTGTAGGTTTACATGTTGAACAATGTGGTGAATCTATACATTTTCTGACCATTATTGTAAGAGTACAATGACTGAGGTTTTAGTCATCGTTGCTGCTAAATGCTCCACTATGTTCACCAGTCGCTAACTTCGTTTGTTTGCTGCCGGGCAGGTAGATCGGTCGGTTTCAGAGTTTTTTGTGTATGAAACATCTCAAGCCGATGTTGATATAATTTGTGTTCACAATTTGGCTGTTCCCCTTTCTCCTTTTCAAACCCGTAAGCGTAAGAGTAAAGTAAAGTTAAACTAAGTAAAGTTACAGTAGTTTCTCTGTAGAAAAAATTTAGCAAATGAGCTCACATTTAATAAGACATAATTTTTGTCTAACGTTATTAAAGACTGTTGAAAAAACATTTAAATCAAGTTCTATATACTAGATTTCTTCCAGGGCTTTTAGCCATGTCTTGTGACCTTCATGAGAAGATTTTGCTTAGCTAGTATTTTGCAAAGTGCCTAGTACACATGATGACAATTGAACCGCCTCCATTACAACTGACCAACGTTCATCCACTAATTATGGCCAAATATGTCTGAAAGCTCTGGAAGAAATCTAGTCAGTGAACCATGAGCTAACAATGAGCTTAATGCCTCGTTCTTATGAACCTTAAAAATACTTTGACAAAGGCTATCTTTATAAAAAACAACTTTGGCCGATATATACATTAGAAGACATAGTATTGGGTTGCAAAGAGCACACTAGCCAGATAACAACCTGGTATAGTTTAATTTGTAGCTAATCAGTTACAGCAATATACATTTCTAGAGACTGTTTAGGCTGCCAAAATCTCCAGATACAACTTACAACTGTGTTAATAATGTAAGTTAGAATCAAAATTGCAGCTCTTGCATTTTTAAAATCAATTGATTGTTCAGCCTGGAAAGAAACTACAGTATGACTAACAAGGGTAACTCTGTAGAAAGCGAGGGCGTCCTTAATTATAGGGAACTGCATCTCCTCCTCTCCGCCTCTGTCCTTTTCAACCTTTTTTTATCTGTTTGATTTACCTTTTCTCCCTAACAACTCTCCCCTTCCTGTCCTCCCCCCTCTTCCTCCTCCTCTTGCTCTGGCTCTTTCTCTTGCTCTTAAAGTGAAACCACAGTCTCAGTCTCTGTGTTTCATGGTGAGTCTGGTCTCCTTCCTCAAATGCTTACAATGCGTTACACTGTTCAACATTGAACCAAGAAACAGCTGTGAAACAGAGTGATAGAGAACGTATTGATTGATAGACAGACACTAATGTCATAAAAAATGACGAATAAGAAAATGCCTTGATTGCTTGTTTGTCTGTCTATAAATACTATAATACTGGAGACTGCGGGAGGAACTGAAATTCACATTAAAAGACTTCTGTTTCATTTATTCATTCATTTATTCATTTATCATTTGGATTGATGGGATATAGCACTGCTGCCACAAAGTTGCAGATTTTTAAAAACATTTTAAAACATTAACATTAAAATATCAGATTTCGTTATCAGTACTATATATATATATATATATAAGTTCTTTTTTCCAGGAATCCTATTTTGCTTCCAAGTTCCAAAATCTCACAGGCCAAATTCCAAAGCAGAAGATAGATTTTCCTGACTAAAGTAGCAGTAGTAGTAGATTACATTACTGCTATTGCT